GATGTCGCTCTAGATTTAGCCTAGTTTCCAACATGTCCATTAATTTCAAAGCAGATGGTAAAAAGAAAAGAGAAGAGAGAAGAAAAAAAAAAAGCTTTAAGCCAATGCAAGCCAGAGCTGAGCGCCAAACAAGCAAACGCAAGCTTTAGATGAAAAGTTAAAAAAATGATCAGTGCTGAATAGGGTTGCACGATTAATCGAATGCGATTGTCATGCGCATTTTGATAGTAATGCCGGTTCTGTAATCAGCAGGAACTCATCATCACGTGCTTTCAGATGGAGCAGAATTTACTTCACATAGCCGTAGTTCACTGACAAGTTACACAAAAAAATCGCAGATGATTTTATTGCGCGATTCTGAAATCGAAGAACTCGTTCGCGATAATGACAGCTGTTTGCATTGCTTCTCAGTGAACTACGGCTCTGTGACGTAAATGCTGCTCCATCTGAAAGCATGTGAAAATACCACATTTAATAACATATTTTTACTCCAAACTCACTTCATAACGTCAGTCGAGTGTTTGAAATAAATCCTTCTGTGAGATGATGTGGCTTCTTACACAGAATAAGGCACGCAACATATTTCATAGTATTTAAGCAGTGATAAAGGCATTGCATTATAAATATACTTTATTTTAATGAAAATTATAATAATAAGAACTCAGATAAACCGTATATTGCCGTAGTCGTGTGTTTATTAGTCACGTTGAATCAATGAAAGCAGTTGAATCTTCTGTTTATTCAGCTGCAGCATTAGGCATTTTCTGGGTTTCTTCTGCAAGGCGTATTTGGAGTTTCAGCGCGAGAACGCCCTCTGGCCTTTGGATGGAGATTTACTGCTGATCACAGAACCGTGCTTCACTGAAAGATACACATGACAATCGCAGCTTCTGTCGAATCGCGATCTCGATTCCATTTCGATTTATCGTGCAGCCCTACATAGTGCTGTTTTAAAGAGGAACTGCTTGCAATCGCTATGTAAAATGCATAATTTTAATTTTATCAAATATTCTGTCTACAGGCTGAGACAGTCTTGAGATGTAAAAAAATATTTCATGCAATATTAGTATTACTATTTATAAAAATAGGATTCTGATGACATGATTTCAATTATTTTGAAATATAGAATAAAAGATACAATTTGTATTCATAGAGTAAGGCTTCATGACATTGAAATAAAATTGATATCATGCCTTAGTGCAATTTAATTAAATAAATATATGCTTTACCAGTTTCAAGCTTAGCATTTACTCACGTGTAGTTCATTTACTGTGAATAGTCACTCTGAAACTGGCACCGCATATTTTTATTTGTCGGCAACTCGTCAAAATGAAAGCTTGACAATTTACCATTTGAAAATGAAGAAATTGACAAATATTAGTGATTTTTTTCAGTAAAATAACATTATTCTTATTATATGATTTTTATTTTACCATATTTATTTTATAGCATTAGTTAGTTTAATATTTTTCTGATAATATCACAGCCTCATAATCAATAATCATAATAAAATCATGACAATACTTATTTTATAGTCATACTAAATTGGGCAAAAACAGTGGGAATGTGAGTCAAATCTTAGTGGAAAGATTTAATAATTGAAACAGTTACTGAGAGTTGTTGTTGTGTTTTTTTTTTGGTAAAAAAATAAAATAAAATAACCCACCCAATTCTTGCAGCCCTGAAAGGATTTCATACTCAAAAATATCTTCTTTTTTTTTTTTAATAACTCCCTAAATCAACCCACTAACTTCTAAATACAGCTATTTAAGTTATCTGGTGAAAATTCCTGTATTTTTTTATATCCCAATATACTGTATATAGCAGAAAAACTTAATATCGCGATATTAAGTTTTTTCGTGAAATAAACTGAATGCAAAAATGATGGAAGAAAGAATATCCTTTCTTACCTCTTTGAAATGGTCAAAAGCAGCAAGGATGATCTCGTGTCCTCCTCTGACCAAACACACAGCGGCCAACAGCTCCAAAACCAGGGCTTTGGTCCTGTAGAATGCAAACAAAAGGACACTTATATCAAGAAACCAAACCTGCACAAAATACTTAGCTACAAACTCTGATAAAACATTCCAAGGAAAAATTAAGAATTCCAGATACAACTCCTAACCAATCAAGAAATCTCCAAGGGGCAGGTCAAATGGTCCTATTGGTTTTATGGTTGGCAAATTACAGAGGAATTATCCCACCTATACAAGGAGCTATTCATTAAGTTTTGTTTAACGGCTTTGAAAGATTCTGTATCATGGTCTCAGGGAACGGTCTAAGTTACAAACCGTTATCTTCTATTGACCTTAATCAGCACAACTGACAGACAATTAATCTATTTATAGCTTAAGTTTCCAAAGAACAGCCCTTCTAAAAAAGGTCTTTGAGCAAATGTAATAGCTTATGGGTTTGGATGAAAGCCTTGACAGATAAGAGAGTTCTCATCAACCGTTCGAGAGGTTTAAACACAGAAACTGGAGAAACGTTTGAGGGCAATGATTAATGTTTTCACATATATGTTGGTTAGGAGAAACCAATATATACTGGTATGTGTGTGGTTACCTGGGGTTTTTGTTGTTAAGGCTAAGAGCAATTTCATTTACAGCATGGGGATGGGACATAACCATGTTGAAGCCATACTTCAGCAGAATAATGTGTGACATAGAAAAGGGAAAAATGAAAAGAGATTAAAACAATTATGTTCTGTTTTTCAATTCAGGTGTTCTTAAAAATTACATTCATAATCTGCTTACCTGGTAGTTCATAATAGCTCTGAGACACATGATGCAGACATGAACGTCATCTTTTTTACACACCAGACGTGAATTCTTCAGAGTTCTGCGACTGGGCAAAGTATTAGACCTGAAAAAAGCACTACAATGTTAAAGGTGGTCTTGCAAAAATATATTCCAATTTTCAGAATGAACAAAAATGTGCTCGTGTCTGTTTGTATGCATCTACCTAATGGAGTGCCTTGTGGATCGTGGTATGCTGCTGCCGCTGACCGGTGATGGTAGATTGCTGTCGCCATGGAGATCTTCTATAGACCTGCTCCAAGGGGTCTCTACAGAAGTCTCACCTGTGGTGCTCTCTGTTACATCTCCATCAAACCTGAGAGAAAATAACAGTGTTTAAAGCATAAACAGAAAATGATGTATAGATTGTGTAGTTTGTCAAAAGTACGACAAAACACTGTGTGCTCCCAACTCCTTCTTGCTGAGAAAGTGTGTTTCAGTCACGTATCAGGCTCCATCACACTTAGAGTTATTTGTTGTAACAAATGACTTCTGTCTTCTAAATTTGGTATTTCACTGCTAATACTATTATGGCTGGCTTTTACAGAACCACTCTTTTGAACAAGCTTAAGAATCCTGTTGGCATTCGTGGACAGGTCTGGTTTAGCTCCCACCTGTCAGATTGATATCCCTTGTATGTGTGTGTGTGAGAGTGTACGTAAAAGGACAACTGTCCAAACAACAGTAAAATATGGTATGCCACAAGGTTCCGTTTTAGGCCCAGTGTTGTTTTCCTTGTATATGCTTCCTTCAAGTGATATTATTAGGACACATGGTCTTTTGTTTTCATTGTTTTGCATAACACACACAACTGTTTATTTCCTCCAGACCAGAACAAATGCCACTAATAATGGAAGTTCTATTCATTGGACCAAATGATCCTAAAAATAAGGTACTACAATCTTTGTCTATATACAGTATATATATATATATATATATATATATATATGCTTCCTTAATTAATA